TGAGAATAAACTGTTATTTCTTAAAACAAAGACCTAAAACTTGGGCAAACTCAATCCTTAAAATCTGAAAAGGATCTCCAGTCTATGCTCATAATCATAAGATGTAACAACTCATTAATCTATAACGTTGCCGCTTACTGAAAACCTTGACTAAGCATCCCTCTACTCTCATACCGTCCTCCTCTAGCTGGCTTCCATGGAGCTGCTTCTCCCGACCTCGCTGCTCCCTAACTACTCCTCTAGCTCTTACTCTTCAAACTGGTGAGTGAGTTGGGGTCAGTCTACGCCCTTACGTTTAAAATTTCTAATACTTGATCACTTTACTTACATGGTGGAAGTTGTTTTGTACTTCCACTATTAAAATCTTCACTCTGAAAACTGAAGGGGAGTTACTTTTACCCTCCATTCTTAAATCTCAAAGCTTGACTTAAATACTTGACCGACACAGGGATCCCTCACTAGCTAGTCCGGTTGCCCAACTCATACGTATGAGAAAGCCCTCCAGGCTTTCCTTAAACTTAAACTTAGTTAGGGGAGTCGTAACGATTCATCCCCCTAACATCTTAAACTTATCGTGGTGGCTCTTCACCACGATTCTCAAGAGCATAACTGCTGCTGATCTTAAAAGTCTCAAGAGCATAACTGCTGCTCTATCTCAAAATGTCTCAAAAGGCAACGGACTGGCGCTAGTTACTAAAAACACTTAAAACGACTTCACCTTCTTGAAGGTGAGTTACTTCTTTAAAAAGAACTTGTTTCTTTAACTTAAACTTACTTGTAAGTATAGCACACAACAACATAAGACTGAAAGCATAAATCACATAAATCATATGACATCATATAAGCATACAAAGGCAAGTACGATCACTGGTGGAGGTGAGGGGTGCCACGACGAAAGGTGTCTTGTGGAGGAAAGAATGGCGGCAGGCAACTACTTCCCTTCCTTTGGTTTCTCGGTTGCATCCCCTTGTAACGGAAAGGAACTAAAGCGAAGGAACCCCATCAAAACTTAACAATTAATCCAATTCAAACCCCCAAATAACTCCTTTCGGTTATGAACTGGGACTAGCATCCGACTTCTAGGCAAATTCCCCTCTTAATCTGGGCGCTGCTTTGCTACTCCGTTTCCGTTCGGTCACTCGATTGGGAACACTTCCTTTTCTTCCTCTTCGCTCCTTCCTTTCTGTCCCAGGATTGGCCCAACAGAGCCCAATGGCAAAGATTATAATGTCCAGCCCAATAATAACCCCATGGTGAAATTCAGACAGAACTGCCCGACCCAAGCCTCAAGGCCCACTCGGTCCGTCCCTTCCGAGTTGGATTTTGATCCAAAACTTAATTGACGTCAGTTTAACTTTCTCATATTATAACGGAACTTGATGCCGTTTGAATTGATAGTTCACACTTTTAATCCTCATCAACATTACGGTGGAACTTGACAAATTAACCCATGGTCACAATAGTCATTTTGACTTTTGGAAAGAGCAGGGTGTTACATTTCCTCCACCCTTATAAAAAATTTCGTCCCCGAAATTTGATCGAACACGTCCTTCCACACTCCTCATTCTCGTGCTTCCTTAGCTCAAGAATTCACTCTTGCTATATGAACTTCGATGATGCTCGTTGCTTGTCCTGTATAGTTTACCTCATTTCTTATATTTCCTATTGACCATAAAAGGTATTCTCACCAATCTCATTTGCATCGAGTACCTTTAAGTGGCTAGTTGTCCTTTTGAATTCTCCCGTTTGGGCCAAGGGCGTGATGGGACAAAATTTCAATTCAATTTATTGATTCAGCTCATCCAGCACTTGTTGTTGGACCATAAATCGATGTCGAGGTATCACATTAAACCTCCTTATAAGTTCTTCCAACAACTCACGCTTTAACATTCCGCCCTTGACTTCAAGCATCCGACCAAAGACACAACTCTTAATAGCCTCTACTTGACATTCCTGTAACCTTGAGAATAGGGAGAATACTTTCCTTGGAGCACATTGCGTGCTAAAAAGGCGATAGCTTTTCGTCTTCATTATAAAACAATCTCAACAAACTACAAAATTAAAATACCAAAACGAATAGGGTAATGTCTATTTTTTATCCAACCCCTTTTCAGATTCTTCTTGATTAGCCAAACCTGTCGAAATACTAAGAATTAGCCAAATGTTAACTTTCAGTTAGCAATTTTGTTAGTAATATTGACTTGGCAACATGATCCTGACTTGAAAGAGACATATGAAGGTCAACATTCCAATATTTTAGTATTTTAACTAAGAAAAGAGTTACAAAATTATTAACGATAACATAAAAATGGCTAATATTTTGATGTATTACGAAAGATTTGGCTAATTAATAGCATTTTAATAGGTTTGGATAATATAAAATAATCTAAAAAAGATTTGGATAAAAAATAGACATTACCCAAATGAATATATAAGAAACTCATTGATTGACTAAACTGTTAATCACAAAACAAAGACGTTCATTAAGAAAGAAGCATAATAGTATATCTAACTGGTAGCATGATGGAAACCACTCAAGTTCATAATGTACCAAAACTTACCTGTTCCAATTTTGATTTCATTATAAAATCTATGGACATTAAAATCCTACACTATTCATGATTTAAATCATCAAAATCTTATTATTGTATTACATTTGTGTTGAATAGGACCAATAATCTGTGTAAGTTTAGATGCAAGTTAGGTGGGTTACATATTTGTTGAATAGGACCAACAATCTTGAGAAATTATCATTTTAAATGTTATATGTTTTTGTGTTATTCATGATTTACCTTATAAATATTATTTGGTGTTAGTTTCTCTATGTATCTGAAAATCCTACGATTTTATGATTTCCATTTTACCCAAATTTTTTTATTTTACATAAACTCTCAATTTTGAATGCTTTGATTACCGGAACATAATTTTTGAACACGGGTATGGGACGAGTTTGCAAAATCTTCCTCCGCATGAGTATGAGGGGGGTATGGGTTTGTATATTTAAAAGCGGGGATGGAAATGATTTAAACAAATTCGTCCAAACCCGCCCATTGTCATTCATACTGAGAAGTACCTTTAAAATAAAGAAAGAAGGAATGGGCCCAAAACCCTATGTGGCCGCCCGGCCGTCCCAATTTACCTCCCAATCTTAACTGCCCTTTTCAGTTTCACCACCCAATCTCTAGCAGTCGCAGGCAGAGTTACAGAGACCAGGGGTGTTCAAACGGTGTGATTACCGTGAAAATCATTTTAACTGGTAGTATTTTGCCAATTTGATTTTGTTAATTTGGATAATTGGTTTGATTAAATTGTTTAGGTTTAGGTAGTTTGGTTAGGTTTCAGACACTCATAACCAATCAAACCAAATTAACCAGTTAATTAATTATCCATAAAGGCTCATATAAGACTTGGCATAACCACTCATGAGCAAAACATTCCTTCCTTTCAGACTCATCTACAACAAAACTCATTATTGTTTCCTATAATATATATTTATATTGTCGAGTGTAGACCATGATATATGAATGTCCAATTTAGATAAAAACACATACAATATATTAGATAAAAACTTGAAATGAAGGTCTTTTTCAAACTTATGATAATTGTCAGGAGACTAATTCAATTCACACAATCACAACAATTATTTAACTCCATACTATAACTATGTGTTTTCATTGTAATGTTTTAGTCATCATATAAATTGTGAATTGATGCATTAACCGGAAATTTTCTCACTTAATGATAATGTGATGTTATATTGGTTAATCTGGTTAACCAATTAACCAAACCGAATAAACTTTAATTTGGTTAATTTGTTTGTTGTATTAGTTTGGATGGTTTGGTTATGATATTGTATTCCATGATTAATAGAGTTTTGAGTCGTTTGATTTGGTAATTATCATGGTAACCATTTAAACACCCCTAACTGTAGACATGGCAATCGGGTCAGGTTGGGGACTTCGCTTACGGGTCGGGTCATGTTTGGTTGGCTGATTTCGGGTCAAATATTAACCCAACTCATTCGGTCGGGTCGGATTACAGGTCATTTCGGGTTATGAGCGTTCTTAGAAACAAAATCAAACATGCTTCATATTTTCTTAAAGAACACAAATTTTCACATATGCATAACAATAGTTTACCTAACACATGTCAATTAACATATTCTCAAATCCTTTCACGCTAATGAAATGAAATACAAATTGCGCAAATCGTAAAAAAAAACAATAACAAGAGTAATACTACTATAAAAAACACTTGATATTTGATTATCCTTAAACTAAAACATGTCATTCAAATCCTTGTGATTTTTTTAAACATCTCACCAATTTATGAGTGATTTTATTATTATGGGAGTGATATATAAAATGGAACGGGTCTAACGGGTTGACCCGCTAACCCGCCCAACCCAACCCAAAAAATCACGGATTATCGGTTTCAGGTCATTCGAATTTCAAGTACAAAAATGAAAAATCTCTAGTTTTTGCCTTTTGGGTGGTTTCGGGTCGCGTTATAATTTGCCAGGTCTACCTAACTGAGACTGCGAAGGAGCGTGGTTCTGTTCGTTGAAGGCACGGGCTAATGCTACATCGGAAGTTAATTAATTACTAAGTCGAAAATTCAGATCCGGCCACCCTACTTCCACCGTCGTCGGTGAATCCACCGTTGTCGACAAATTTACGACCCCCGGTCGTCCGTTTCCTCACCGTAAGTTCAATTCCACTCCCGCGCTTCTCTATTCGCCTGTTCTAATCATATGTAATATGTTTCGTTTTCGTCGCTTACAAAATCAGATCACAAGATTTTTCTTTGGCGAGAATAAGATCGCACAAGTTCTGTTCTCCAAAGTCTTTGATTAGTCAGCTTCGTCAAATTAACAATTCAAACGAACCAAAACAACAACCCTAACAATAATTCACTTCAACCCAACAAAACCCTCGTCTCAAAGGCCAAAGCTTTCCCTTTAGTGCAGACATGGCTTCCGTTGAATTTTACTTCCGCTGCTACATTGCAACATCCAGCCTTGCCAATTCCTCAATGCTCATCAACTTTACCTGAGTACCAAGAGTAAATTTCTCATCATCATGATTTCATATGCGGGGGAAAACTAGTAATTAGTTGCCAGAATTAAGCAGGATGGATAGCTAGCTAACACACCTTGTTCATAATCGACTCTTGAAGCCTTTCATAATCCTCATCACTCCCAGTCCTCCTCCAGTTGTCCTTCATCTCAGATGCCCTGCTGCTGCTGGTCTGCCTTCGAGAGAACCCTTTGAAGTAATCATTCAGCTGAACCTGATTCAGGGAAATCAAAAGCATTGTTTTTTTTTTAATGTTTTACTTGGTTATACTAATCACATATAGGTTGAGAGCGAAAGAATTAACAGACTGAACAAAACAAATTACCTTTCTTCTGGGATTTCCGTCTCCTGGGAGCATGTGTTCAAGTTGATCAACGTCGAAAAAACAATCGCGAGCTTTTGCATCGTAGACTAGCTTTTGCCAAACAGAATCACTACTCATCAAGGTCCTCCCACATCCCAGAATCCACATGCAGTATCTGCATAATTGCAAATGAAATGCCATACAATGAGAAACCAAAAAGAAGCAGCTGGTAAACGTTATTGGTATTTTCATTATCCCTTGTCCGAAAAACAGTAGTTCACCTTGCCCTTGTGAGTGCAACATTGGTCCTTTGAGCATTAGAGAGAAAACCAATTGCCCCACTTTCATTGGATCTTACAGTTGATATGATGATGATATCTTCCTCGCCACCTTGGAACCCATCTACCGACTTGACTTTCACTGAGAAGCCATCTTTCTGCTCAAACTCATTACCAAGTTTCTTCTTGATTGCAATCACTTGAGCTGAATATGGCGATATCAGACCGATGGAGAGCTTCTGCTCCCTGGATCCCTTAAATGCTGCATGAATGTAGAATAGTGTCATGTATAGTGCAAAACTATGAAATCTATCTTTGACATAAAAGTAATGAGAAAAGATTGACCAGAAACCCTTGCTGTATTCGTATACAATACCTTTGTAAAGATTCTTCACCAATTTCAGCGCAATGTCTACCTCGGTCATATTTCTCCTGCTACGTCCAACATCATCGAATTCTTCCCTTCCGCCAGTTACACTCATAAATGAATAGGGACCAAACATCGGGCCTGGAAGATATCCATTTTTCCCATAAGTTGAGCTTTTCACATTTTCTCCATCTTGAATCTTACCAGAGTAGAAGATGGAATTGGGAAAGCAGCTTATTGATGGATGCATCCTGTATTGAATATTCAGGAGGTGTACTGGGTGCGCTAGCAAAGTTAGCCTTTCAAAAAGGCTCCTTCCGAACTCAGCTTCACTACAAGCCTGTGGAAAAGGTAAGGTAAATTTGGTACAATTTGTTCCTAAATTGAAAGGATAATAGTACTATTCTCCAGCATACCTTGCTTTGAACCATGGCTGGTAATTGACATTCATCTCCTATCAAAATGGCATGCCTGATACCAGGCAATTGCAGAGGTATTGCTGATTCACATTCTTTCAGTTGTGCAGCTTCATCAATCACCAAAACCTCGAGTGGCTCCTTCATCCGCACTGAATGAAGCTTGTATGAAGTAGCTGATGTGCAGAGAATGAGAGAAGCTTGATTGAAGCAGAAGATTGGGATTTCATACTTTCTCCTGAAAACTGGAAACCCAACTGCCGCCAGAGTTTTACTCAGATCTTTCAATGTCGATATACAACCCGTTCTTCTGTGGCAGAGCTCTTCGGATGCAGCAGCAAAACACCGGGAAGAATCTTTGATCAATTGAGGATGTCGAAAAAGCTGCTCCAGCTCCTTGGAACGCACACTATCGCAGAATAACAGACTTCTGAAGTTTTCGATTAAATCGATGACACATTGGATCTTTCCAAGAACCTCTCTCCCCGTAAAGCTTTCTGGAACATGAATGCACAAAGTAATCATGCAATTCTGGAATGGCAAAACTGTTTGCCGAAATCTATCTCTTGCATACTCAAGAAATGATTTGTACTTCGTTTCCTTCGAGTTCATTTCGGTTTTTCCTAGCCCCCCCTTGAATTTGCTGTCAAGATTCGTCTTTTGCTTATTCGTCCTTTCGGTTTCCTGATGAGTAGAGAACTGAACAACACAGTGTTCAAGAAAGTAGATGGTACAATTGAGGTGGTGCTGCCATCCAGAGAGAGGTTTAAAGCACTCCCAAAGCTTTTCAACTCGATAACCCAGGTATATCTCTTCCACTTCTGGGCCCAGCTTAAGTCTCTCTTCATTCCCAATCAAGAGAATATCCCCTAAACCTGCAGCAGCATTATTCTGGGTTGCAGATGATTCCGATTTCCAGAGCTTGACGACCCTTGAAGCTACTTCTTTTATTGCAACATTTGTTGGTGTACAAGTCAGCGTCCTGCATTTCATCTTCAAAAGAGCAACTAGCAATGTGCTTACAGTTTTGGTCTTCCCTGTCCCAGGAGGGCCCTTAATGAGTTCCAAACCGGACCTATGGTTGCAACGAGCTCTTCCAAGGCAAGCCAGAACAGCCCCTCTTTGAGACTCGTTCAAGGTATTAGAATCTGTAGTCTGATACTTTGTATCCATCTGCTGCTTATAAATACAAACGCTGCAACTTTCCTTGTCCTGCAAGAAACCAAGATCGTTTTAAGCAAATAGAAAATGATCGCTTAACAGACTGTAGTACTAGTTAAGCCATCAGTAGTGGAATGGAATGAATCCCTTACCAAAGTTTCTGCAGATAGTACTTTGTCGATGATAGTCAAGTTTCTTGACATATGCAATGCATTCCAGATTCTACGGTTGGTTGTGATACTCATCAAGTAGATGACAAACATCGTTGGCTTCTCGTCGACTCCAGTTCCAGGTTCCAGCTCTTTTGATGCTTGGAGGATAAACTGCGTTGAGCTTCCACCTTCATATTCCGGATGAGGAATGACTACAGCAAGGGACCAGAAGCAGCCTGGCCTCTGCAAATCCGAGACTGTTTCGGGCTTAGCATCGGCTAAAAGGACAAGGTCCCAAACCGAAGTTCTGTAAGGCGGATTGCCAGAGCTACCACCACCACGGTTTCTCCAGTAATCAACTTGAACTTTATGCAGGAAAGACCCGTGAGGTTTGCACTCTTCCAACTCTGTCATACTGGCGAATGGTGCCTTGGAGATGACTTCCATGGCCGACTGCAGTTCAGCTCTCGTCTCCTCCAGTAAAGGAGCCACGAACTGTTTCAAGTACTGTTTGGTTGAATTCACTGATTTTGGAATCATTGGTACCTGCAAAAAGGTAGGCATAAGTACAACCCAGTTCATAATAGATTAAGATTGTGCCAATTCAATCTTAAGTACTGTGTTAACTAGTGCAACAACATTATTCAGCAAGACATAATTAGGTACGACTCGATTCAACCGATTCAATATAACCAACAAGTCGATCAATACATCATAAAAGTCCACGAATCGGAAGAAAAATACGATACGAAAATACTGAGTCCGATTAAAAAGAGTGAAGTTGCTTGTGATTTATGAAGGACAGGATCATCATGGACAACTGAAGCAGGGTAAGCATAAAAAGAAATGCAAGTAAAGTGGGAAGAGAGAATATATGAGAGACCTCGAGTAGACTTTCATTGAAAATGTCCTCAAGTGACCACGAAAACAGAGTAGTGATGAAACCTTGCTTCTTCTCACTGCTTGAACTCTCCTCCACCGGCTTCGTCGTCATCTTCTTTGTATCGGCGTCGTCCCTACTAGTCTACTTCCCAAGCTGTTTACGGCCACCGTACCCTACAGTAGATATTACTATGGCTATATGGCTTTTAGAGTGACTACCCCATTATAAATACACGACCACTTTGGAAGAGAAAATGAAGAGACAGGGGAAAGGGAGATGGTGGTGGGTGGGAGTTCCAAAATTCTCGTCCAGGGAGTGGAAGAGGCGCTCGTTCACTTGGCACTGGTTCTTTTCTACGAACTACGATGCGATCCTTTTTTTTTTTTTTTTACAACAACAACATTATACATCTATCTACAAAAGATATAATAGCACTAGCACAGCACTCTGCCCGTTGGCCGGAAGAATTTTGTCGAGAAATATGATATATAATAATGGATATATAATGTACAAAATGATTGTTTTCTAACTTAGTTATGCACATAATATTTTTGAAAGTGATCCAACTATGCATAATATGTTTAGATCTCCATGAAAAGAGAAAAATGTAATATAAGCATTACTTATAATTATTGAATGAAAAAAGAAATAAATATAACTAATTGTCGTTCATTATATAATTAAACCATATACTTGAATATTAGAGTTGTTTCTCATAATACATACATAATCAACCTTTAAGATGAAAGAAAATGTCTCTCATAGAGTTTAGTATGTCCTTTAAGTTTTTCTCAATTGAGAGCATTCTTTTTTATCACACCATTGGTAATGAATCTGAAGTTGCTTGATTTGAAATATATATAACATGATGCTAATAGTTGGTTGGAAAATGTGTCGTGTATGGATTTCCAAAATTATTCTAAGATCGCAGACATGTCTAACAACAATGTAGTAATTTTCATGCAGCAAATATTTTTTCATGAAATAATTTAACAAATAAAAACCTATGAAAATCATATTACATGAAATATAAAGTACTCATTAAGTTGATGAATGAGCAAGGGTATAAGTAACATATATTTATTTTAAAAATATAGAAGTTGCAAAGTGTCTTTTTGGTTGAATGAGATCACATATTCTCATTATCGCTGACTGACTTGTGCTTTTTTGCAATAGATAGTTCAAAATATGTCTTAAAACTTTTGTTTCCACCAGTGTAAAAGAATTGTTTGAACCAAATGATTACAATAGTATCAAAAAATTTGGTTGCAGAGTATTTTATACTAAAATCATAATTTAACTGTGGTTCAACCGTTTCATATTGCTAAATATCACCTATCGATTTAGCCTATGGTGTGAAGTTTTATGGTCGAACCACCGGTATATACGATCTTTCAATTCAAACTTTAAATAAAAAACCACTAAGATATTGACATGATCAAATACCCTTAAATCTCATAAATTACCATAATCATTTTTAAGGAAAAAATCATCCAAATGATAATACTGATTTAGGATTTTATGGGGTCATTTGGAAGTTGCGATTTTTAAATATATATTTTGTTGTGAATGCATGTATAATATTATATATGTATTGTCGGATTAGATGCATTGTGTATGTCACATAAGCTAAAAGCTGAGACAAAACAATCCCAACTCAACTATCTCAACAATAACAATTAAAAGTTGAGATATAACAATCACTCATTTTGATTGATAGTTTCAGTCACATCACAGATGTAATTCATGTATTGGTTCTACTAAAAAATATAAAAAAATTAGGCATTCTAAAAAACAATACATTTATAGTAACAATCGCAACTTTCAAACGACCTCTTAAGTGAAATGGAAAAAATCTATAAAATATAATGTCATCTCCTAAAATAAATCAAAACTCAACAGGGCCAAGAATACACACTAAAAAAAGTAGAAGGGCAATTATTTCACACTACCTCATTTTCCTCCCTCGTTTAAATATGTCCTCTCCCTCTCTCTTATGCCTCGTTCACTTGCCATTTTGTTTTCTGTTTTCTGGCGTGACAAATTTTTTTTTAAGAAATGTGTTCACTTGCAATTTCATTATCGTTGAAAAAAATCATGGGGAATAAAAGAGGCAGTTGGGCGGAAACAATAAAACATCTTTTGCTGGAAAATGAGAGACGAATTTCCCCCCGTTGCCCATTGGGTTATGCCCCCATTCCTTTTAATGAGCCTAGTGTTCGAATCCCCCGGACACATTTTTCTCTCCTTTTGTTCACTTAGACCAACATCGTCGTTTTGCTAACCCCAGCTCCCATCGTTCTTCTCCAGCCTCCCCCAAACTCAACCTCCCCATCGAACGAAACTGCTACAGTCCTCCTCTTCTTCCTCTAGCGGAGGGAGAGAAGATCGATCCGGCGAACTCCTTCTCTAGTCGGCGAAGCTCCAGCGGCGAAGGACGGGTTTGCTTTGAGATGCCAGCAGGTATTACCTTTCCACCGCTAAGTTAATAATTCTCAAGGGCTTAGATCCTCGAGGTAATATCAACAGAGGTGTGGATTAGGCTGGATGAGACAGTGATGGCTACACTTGCCTGGCGGGTCCTCGATAATCCTCTTTGTTTTTCCATTTGTTCTTCCATCTTTCTCTCTCTCTGAGCTTTGTATCTCATCACTCTCCCACTTTCCTTCCTCTTTCTTCTCACCGCCTTGAATTGAAAGAAACCTAGAAACATCCCAATTACTTATCCAATTTTGCGTTCGAAATGCTTCTTCTCCATTCATAATCGATAGTGTGAATCAGAGGACCTGAAACCTGGCGAACAAATGGCCGCTTATTCCTCTCAAATGACGCATTTCTCCATAAAACATGAGTGCACCAATATAGACTATGTGGTGCTTGCACTTGTGCGCGAGCGCTTGAAGTTTAAGTCAGGTACGACCCATGAAGCATTCATACTTGTATAGGGCCGACCCATATACATTGTCTTCATGGTATGCTCTAACTGTGTCATGCTAGCTCGATCATGTGCCTGCCTATAGTTATATGCATTCTAATAATTAAGTTTATACCTATTCGCAACACCAAGATAAAAAAACAAACATAAATGCACCCAGTATTTGATTTTGACTACATGATAAAAACTACATTTGAACCAACTACCACTGATCCCACAAATAATAAGTATATCTCTAAATCATACATAAAATATTTCAAACATCACAAATATTAAGATTAAATTAATTATTATAAAGAGTATAAATTGTATAATGAGGTTAATTATAACTCATTTATATGTTAATGCCCTTAAATTGATCAACACAACCAAAAATGGCAAAATGAACATCACATTAAACCTAATATCGTCTCGTTATTGTCGGATCCATTCATGTCAGATTAGCAAGAGGTTTAATGTTTAGCAATTAACCAGGCTAAAATTTTAGAGAACCAGTCACCTATAGTTTGTACAAAATATTATTGCTTCGTAGTAGTTCTGAAAATTTATATTAACTAAAGAATTCTACATCTCTGCTGCATATTCAATAGGGCTGGCATTTCGGTTAGTTTGGTTATAACCAATGCTGTTAAAACCGAGCCGAGCCGGCCGGCCGGACCGCTACCCGGTCGTAAAACCGGCTCGGATCAGTCAATTAGCCGTTCCGGCTTTCTGGAGCGGTCGGCGAGCGGTCGAGGCGGTTAACCGCTCGAGCCGCTCAAGCCGGTCACTCGGTTTTACCCCATTCAGGCCGTTATGATTAATTAAAAAAAAACTGAAAAAGTGAAAATGAAGGCAAAACGTCGGGGCTGGAAAAAGCCCTAGCAACATTTCACTTCATCCTCTTCGTCTTCTTCGCGAACATAGAAGGAAGAGATGCGCCAGACCAGCCGCCGTCGACACTTTCCGTCTCGGATTCGGCGAGTCCCGTCGAAATCGTCGGCATCCCCACTCCCCGTAGCAGCTCCCCACTCGCCATCTCCATCGCCAGTGCTAGTCGCCGTCCCCTCCTCCCGATTCGTCATCACTTCCCGTCCCGTTCTTGGGAGCTTCCCGTCGGTGTAGTCCCCATCCCCGTAGCAGCCCACTCGACATCGTCATCGTCTGTCTCACCTACTCCAGCGCGTCTCCCCGGCTCCAACGCATCTCCCCTGCTCCGGCCGTTTCTCCTCCGCACCATCTCTCACCGCGGTCTTTACTCTGCAGCTCCCACCGGCCGTCTCTACTCCAGCGCATCTCCCACCAGCAGTCTCACCTCCGCATCATCTCCCACCGGTCTCTGCTTTGCTCGACACAAGGTGAATTAATTGACTAATTGTGCGGCTGCTTCCAATGATTCATAATATTAATTTAACATTGAACCAGGAAGTCATTGATTCAATTGACATTTTATTTTAATGTATGATTTGGTAGAGAATCAACCTACTGCTTCCACTGATTCAATTAATCTTTTGTAGATGAGTAATTTAGTCATGTTTTACCATGATTAAGAAGTGTCTACTATTTATACTTATTGTTTATTAGGTACCGGTTCTCAAACGGTTTTTAAACGGTCTAATGCCGGTTGGACCACTAATGACCGAGCCGTTCACGTTACCGGGTCGTACTCCGGCTCGGTTTTGACAGCATTGGTTATAACCGATAACCGAAATGTTGGTTACCGATTAACCGAGACAGGGGATGCGACTACCGCCAACCGACCGGTCGGTTATTGGTTAGTTGGCCGGTTAACCGAAGTAACCGCGGCATGCAAAGGAAACCGCTTTGTTAGTTATACACCAAATGAAAGAATTTCATATCCAAGAAAGCTGATGCTAATGGATTTCTCAATTGTGGTCTAAACTTTCCTCATAATTATCGCCCGTTACAATCCAATCCAGGACATGGTTTCCTTTTCCGCGATTTGGGAATCCTCGAGGAAAGTCAGTAGACCCACTCCATCTCCATTACCGTTCTTCATAATTCAGACCCTGCAACGGAAAGTTCCAACCCCAAGAGATTTAAAACAGAAACAGAGAATTCGATCAAAATTGAGAAAAGAGAAAAAAACAGAGCATGGTTTCTTGATAGGCTTACTGTTGGATCTCAATGTTGATACTCCGGCTAGCGGTCCAATTCGCGACGGTCTCGAACGCCATCTGCGACAGGCTTGCACGATCCGGCCGCCACCGCGCTGAGACACCGCAGCTTGTACTGGCCGCCCCATTGTCCCATATCCCTTCCCCTGCCGCCGCGAACATGTAGCTCGACGGGAACTGCGACGCGTCGCTGCCGGAGAACGCCGTTGCTGCAGGGCAGTAAATGACAATTGAAGAGGTAGGAGGAGGGCTGCCTTCGATTAGGGTTAGGAGACAGGAGAGTGAGGGTGCAGCACTGCGGCGTCGTTTCAATCGCCGGTTAGCTGGCCGGTTAGCCGGTTAACCGGCGGTTACCATCGTCGGTTAGCCGGTTAACCGGCACAATAAGAGCTGCTACCGCCAACCGCCCGACGCCCCATTTTTCGGTTAGTCGGTTAACCGGTAACCGGCGGTTATCGGTTTAACCGGCCGGTTAACTGGTAACCGCTAACCGAACGACCAGCCCTAATATTCAATACTGCAATTCGATATGCAATATTTCAAGCATTGAAATTTGTGTTGCAATTTTAAGATTACCCATCATTTTATAGGTTATAAAAAATTATAAATCACGTATTAAACTTTGCTTTTTAGAGTATTTAATAGGCTAGCTAACCGTGATGGAAATTTCCTATGATTTTCAGATCATCGCTAAGTGTATGCTTGCAATTCAGGAAGATAAACTAAATTTTTTTAGTGTAATTGGTTGTGATTGTTGTTTTTTGAAAGAAAACATGGTTCAAATCTAGATGTTGATAAAATTTTTATAGGGAGTAGATAAATAATTGCGATGAAAAATAAATACTCTTCCTACTTTCACTCTCGTTTCACGAAATTGAAAATAAAAAATCTTAAAACATTGAATATATCTTATAGAAAGAGCTTCTTCAACTATGTAAGAAGGGCATTTTACCTGAAATTATTATATCTTATAGAAGTGATTAATTGTGAAATCGAAACTCCAGTAACATTGATTCAAACATTAAATATTAAATTGTATGTGTGGTACAATTTAGATAAAATACATGTGTGTAGCCAAAACATGGATCTTCGTGACATATATAGTAACTTTTTGTGACAAATCTACACATAATATAAAGATAAATTTGTCACTATGACAAAAAAGAGGTTCGTAGAATCACTCTCTCAGGCCACGAAATTTAAAAGAAAACTCTCATTTTCCAATATTATCATTATATTATGTATAGATTTGTCACAAAAAAATGGCTATACTCGTTACAAAGGTCCATATTTTGGTCACACTTATGTATTTTCTTTAAACTAAACTAAACTACACATACAATTTAATATTAATGTTTGAATCAATACTACCTGAGTTCCAATTTCAGAACTAATCTCATTCTATAAAATATAAATAACTTAAAGATAAAATATAAATATAGAAGCATCATCACCAAACATATTTCTAGAGTTTAATCAAAGAAATATCAATAAATAAAATGTAGCCTAGTTGGTTATAATGCTCTTTCTTCGTTTAATTGATCCGTGTTCAAACTCCAATGATAACATTATTAATATATAAAGATAAAATGGGTGCAATGACAAAAATGACCTTCCTAAAATCACTCTCAAGCCACGAAATTTGAAATGGGAGAATTCCAACCCATGTTTTGCCTTTATATATCTTGTAGATAACAAATGTTAGATTTTCAGGATTTTGAAATTGGTGGCTCCTGAGGGTTTCACGGAAGGGTATTACGGTCATTTTGCCCCAATTAAATAGAGCACTACGTTCCATTCCTGGCATCCGTCCGGTCAGCAACAGGCTTTATTCTCTTACTACTTGGGCCCGAAAGTCCTTCTTTAGTCGATTGGGAAAAAGGGCTGTGACTTTGTTTCACTCACTGGTAGGGCTGTTAATGAACCAAACCGCTCATGAACGGCTTGGTGTCCGACTCGAGAAAAACTCGTTCGACCTTCGATTTGTCTTAATCGAGCCGGCTCGCGAACAAGTTCGTTAACTAAATGAGCCGAACTCGAGTCATACCATGTTCAGCTCGAAAACTCGCGAACAAGCTCATTTAATGGTTTGCAATAAAAAAAAGATTAAAATTCATGGATTTTATATATTAAAATTGGGATAAATATTATGTTTTACTTTGATAGACTTTTGCTATAGGTTTGAATGTAATTTTGTGCTAAGTTCTTGGTCAATATTGAGTTATCATGAACATTTTATGAGTTGAACTCAATTTTGGGCTCGTTAACTTATTTGACGAGCCAAGCTCGAGTCGAGCTCGAGCTTTCATTTTCATAAACGAGCCGAGCTCGAATTTGCATATTAAAGCTCGTGACGAACACGAGCCAAGCTCGAGCCTGGAAATATATTAACGAGCCGAGCCCGAACTATGACAAAGCGCGGCTCGATTCGGCTCATTAACAGCCCTACTCACTTCATTGACTCCCTGCTCTTTCTTCTTCACCACTTCATCTCTCCAGGCGTTTATTTATTGGTGGAGATTTGCCATCGGCGAGTTCCTCCTTCAATTTCTTCATATCTTTGCCCTTTCTTAAATATTCCCCGGTTTTTGCGTTGGCTTGACGGCGCCTTCCTACCCTCAATTGTATTGCGCTCAAGAATGCGCCAGCCTTTGGGAAGACGATCGAATCTGATTTCTCCTCTGGCAGTGAGTCAAATCCAGTCTTCCATCTTGGCTATCATTTCGTTCTATAGTACAACAACGTTTCCTTCGGCTTCTCCATTGAGTGGTCTATTCAGGTGAGAAAATCAGGATTCAGGTGGATTTCTTCGTTGATCACAAAAGAATTTTTTTCCCCATGGATTTTGATGCAATTTGCTTCCTCTTCTCAATTAATTCCTCTTCAACGTGAGATTTACTTGCTCAAAATTGGGATCCACTTGGGTTTCTTTCGCTGATCACATAAGCTCTTGATTTTTTTGCCCTCCTGGTGTTCATGATCGATCGAGGAAGTGTTGTTTGGAATTCCATGGTTGAATCATTTGTTTTGTTCCAATATATGTTGGAGGAACATAGATCCCCATGTTTTGTAACCAAGTGTATCGATTTTACCTTACACACGAATTGTTTGGCTCAAGTCAACATCATTTTACATTCCTATCTTATATTCCATTGACAACTCATTATGTATGTTATTTTGCAAGGTAACACAAACAATCTCATTTGTTATCTGGGTAAGTTGAAATTGGACTAGGCAGTATGGAATTTTTTTGAATAGTGCCCCGCCTACGTAAAATAGCATGAGCTGTAGCTACTAGCTAATGCGGACACTATACTTTTTTAATTTGAACTATAACTGTTAGGAACGGAACAACAAAAGGAACGAGGTTACCGAATCTGGAGCTGAGTCGCGGACTAGGTCGCTCTCTTTAAGACGTTCGCGGCACTGCCTTCGATGCGCACGGCAGACTATCAACCGGTCGTCTCCAGGATAAAACAGCTCCTCTCAATACTCGCGGTTTTGTGCGAAAACCGAAGCTCTCTAAACACTCTCTCTATTGTGTTTCTGCTCGTTGTGATGTGATTAGAGGGGCTGGGGAGGCGGCTATTTATAGGAGCCGAACCCCTAGGAATATACCCTCTTGCTTGGGGAATAAGTCGGATTAATTAAGGAAGATAATTACTTTCTTAATTAAAACCGTCGGTTAAGATAAACCCGGAGGGATTATCCTTCGAATATTCCTTTTCAGTCGATTATCCCTTAGAATATTCCTCAGAATAACCGATTAATAATTAATTATTAGATAATTAATTTCGTTCGGAATTTCTGTAAAAAATATATATGTAGTCTCAAGTGAACCAACCAACCAACCGGTCGGACAAACGGCGTGAGCGCGCGTGTGTGTGGTGGTCCGTTAGGTCCTCCCTCTCCCACAAAGGTGGGTCACCCCAAGAGGCATGCCCTTGGGAGAGAGGCTCCTATCTTTATACCCATTTAACCAAGTAAAACTACCAATGTGGTAGTTTTTCCACTTGAGACTCTATAGCTTTCAAAGCTATTCATATACATTTCCAACAATCCCCCACTTGAATAGTTTTGAAACTATCTCTGAGCATTAACAGTTCCATAAGATCGGGCATAAGCTAAGGTATCGCGAAGATTTGAACCTTAGCGTAGTGGTTATACTTCCGATTTCATAAGGGTGACTCGTAGTCTTGAACCCTATCTCAGACAGTGTAGCACACCGGATCTTTTCATTGAGTTGTGTTCTCTTCATAGCCCGTGCGTTTATGGCCATGCACGTTACCCTGGTTTAGTGAACGCTCTAGCAACTTTGTGCCTCCAAAGTTCCATAGGGAGCGGCCCCACTCCCACATTCACATAGGTGAGTCTATCAGGAGTACCCCCAAAGTAAAGTACTCCACCCCACATAGGGTATAGATCTCATTAAGAGTTATTAACTCAACCTCCATTGCTTTGGAATTCATGCTTCACTATGCATGAACTTTTCGCATACTACTCATGACTTGTTATTACTCATTGAACCCATTTCTTGGGATCTCCAGTCTGTTGGGTCGGGTTACCATCACTTGTAGTCCGTGGTTCGGTAGGCATAAGTCCCATACCCTTGGCGGTATTATGGACTTTCTCTCTAGGTAATCCTTTCATCAAAGGATCAGCTAGATTCTGTTCGGATCTTATATGATCCACCCTCACTGCTCCTATCGTTAGGAGTTCTCTTACAGTATTGTGCTTACGACGAATCTGTCGTTTCTTTCCGTTATAGAACCGGTTCTCAACTTTAGCGATAGCTGCGGTACTATCACAATGGATCAATACCGGAGGGACCGGTCTTTCCCATAGGGGAATCTCTGACAACAATCCTCTCAACCAACTTGCTTCTTCACTAGCCGTTGCTAGTGCTATCATCTCTGATTCCATAGTTGATTGAGCTAGGATTGTTTGTTTCTTTGACTTCCAAGATACAGCTCCACCAGCGATGTTAAAAACATACCCGCTGGTTGCCTTGGAGTCATCTGATAGGGTATTCCAATCCGCATCACTATACCCTTCTAGTACAGCAGGAAACCTTTGATAGTGTATACCAAGGTTTGCTGTTCTCTTGAGGTATCTCATGACCCTCTCTATAGCATTCCAATGCTCTCTACTAGGACAACTGTTAAACCTTCCAAGCAATCCCACGACATATGCAATGTCTGGTCGAGTGTAATCCGCTGCATAACGGAGACTGCCAATGATGCTAGCATATTCTGATTGTCTTACACTGTCTCCAGTGTTCTTAAATAGCTTTACACTAGCGTCATACGGAGTACACGCAGGTTTACAGTCGAAATAGTAATATTTCTTCAAGATCTTCTCTATGTAGCTAGATTGATCTAGAGAATAACCATTTGCTGTTCTAGTTATCTGGATGCCAAGCATAAACTTTGCTTCTCCCAGATCTTTCACTTCAAAGCTCTCTTTCAACATGGCTTTTGCTTCATTGACCACGTGAATATTTGTACCAAACATCAACATGTCATCTACATACAAACATATGATAGTGCAAGTGTTATTTTATGACTTGCAGTAAATACACTTGTCACTTTCATTCACCTTAAAGTCATGTGAGAGAACGAGAGTGTCAAACTTCTCATGCCACTGTTTTGGAGCCTGTTTCAAACCATATAATGATTTGTCTAACTTACAGACTTTCGAGGCATGTTCGGGGATAACAAACCCTTCTGGTTGTTCCATATAGATTTCTTCATCCAGATCACCGTTCAAAAAAGCGGTCTTAACATCCATTTGGTGTACCACGAGATTGTTCAAGGCAGCAAGAGCAATCATTACACGAATGGATGTTATTCTAGATACTGGTGAATAGGTATCGAAGAAATCTATATTCTCTCTCTGCCTGTAGCCCTTAACTACTAGGCGAGCTCGGAACCTTTCGATTGCACCATCAGGTTTCCGTTTCGTTTTTAGAACCCATTTATTACCTAAGACTTTGCAGCCAGGAGGTAAGTCTGTTAGATGCCAAGTCTTATTAGCTTCTAACGATTCCATTTCGTCTATAACGGCCTCATTCCAAAAATCTGCAGGTACGGAAGTTAATGCTTCCTGCAAACTTTTTGGATCTTCGAGGGTGAATACTGTAGTAAAGTCATCACCAAAATCTTTAGAGATTCTAGCTCTTTTACTTCTTCTGAGTTCATCCTCAGAACCAACACCCCCACTAGTTCCGTTATCTCTAATATCTCTTGCTTGGGGAATAAGTCGGATTAATTAAGGAAGATAATTACTTCCTTAATTAAAACCGTCGGTTAAGAGATAAACCCGGAGGGATTATCCTTCGAATATTCCTTTTCAGTCGATTATCCCTTAGAATATTCCTCAGAATAACCGATTAATAATTAATTATTAGATAATTAATTTCGTTCGGAATTTCTGTAAAAATATATAGTAGTCTCCAGTCGATTATCCCTCAGAATAACCGATTAATAATTAATTTCGTTCGGAATTTCTGTAAAAAATATATATGTAGTCTCAAGTGAACCAACATACCGACCGACCGACCAACCGGTCGGACGGCGCGCGCGTGTGTGTGGTGGTCCGTTAGGTCCTCCCTCTCCCACAAAAGTGGGTCACCCCAAGGGGCATGCCCTTGGGAAAGAGGCTCCTATCTTTATACCCATTTCACCAAGTAAAACTACCAATGTGGTAGTTTTTCCACTTGAGACTCTATAGCTTTCAAAACTATTCATAAACATTTCCAACAATAACCAATTGACATTTTTCTAGAATTAATCGAGATGCTATATTTCTTTAATCTGATTCACGCCTAATAATGAATATGTATAATTTGCTAAAGTAACCACTATCTATGTAATTTGGTGCACGCAGTGAGTTGCTACATGTTTGACTTTAATGATTGTAGTCTCAATTTCTATAACTCCAATGATGGTTATGTTACTAAATTTATATATGCAGATTGTATATTATTCAACTAGATCATTTAGTTAAATGCTTTGTGGTTCTTCTAACTAAAATTTGTGCTTACGAATTGTTTCTTCCTCCCGACCTTGAACCATCCTGGAGTCACTAGAATTATTTAAATTCAATCTTGGTCACTAGGTTTACAAAAAACATTCATGTTTGGTCACTAGAAATATTTAAATCCAATTTTGGTCACTCAAATTAGTTAAATGGTTCAAGTTTGATCACTCTCCGTTAGTTTCTGTTAACACCGTCAGTTATTTGCTGACATGGCTGACGAAAACACCTAATCAGCAAATTTTGACCTAAAAAAATTAAAACAAAACCCTCCACATCAACAAATCCATCCACATCAGTTTAACCAACCCAATGCTTGACCCGACTCCACTCCCCAACCCAGCCCTTGCCCGACTCTTCCCCAACCCATAATCGCCATCTTCCAAGATTGAAGCCACTACACCTTTCCATCTTCCCAACCCAATCTTCTTCCCCCATATGTTCATCGTTTCCATCAAATTCAATTTAACAACCTATTGCATTCATCAAAACAAATAAACAATAAACAGTTTCATTATTCATCCCATTTCCCATCTACCAAATCGGCAAATCCCTAATCTAATTTGTTACACTGACCGGCGACGGGCGATGGAGCTGGGATTCCTCCAACGGGCGACGGCGACCGGGTTGAATTGAGAAGGGGAAAACGGCTCGACGATGAGTGGCGGAGCGGGGATGACAACTCGATGAGCAGGCTGGCGACTAGAAAGAAGAAGGCGAGGCGACAGCGAGGCGGGCGATGTGAGGCGACGACGACCGATGACGGAGACGACTAGACGGGCGGCTGAGGCGGTCAGGCATAGCAGAGTTGTGGAAGCAGAGAAGAGGGACGAAGACGATGGTGCCTGCCGCCTGGTGAGATTTTCGAGATGGACTCGCGCAGCTAGGGTTGGGACTTGGAACTCTTGGCCTCTCTTGGGTATTACCAAGGGGCTTGCTATTTGCCGCCATGTAATTTTGACCGTTTGGTATATTTTTGTAGATTACTCATCCCAGAGCCCCCCAGGGCAATATTCTTACCCTTACATCGATGAGCTTTTTCCAGAGTTTGTTCGACCTTTACTGGTAGGCGATTTCAACCCTAGTCCAGACGGCCATTGTGGTTTTAGGGCACTTTCTCATTGTATTTATGGGGATGATAGTCACTATCTGCTCATGAGATTGACGATTGTCCAAGAAATCCAACAACATTTTTGGAAGTACGAGAACTTGTATATTGGTGGTCCACTAGCTCACATTGACCGCATCAATTGGCTAGAGGCGGGTTCCGCACCACTGGGGCGATGGATGGATTCTGAGGACTTGTTCGTGTTTGCCACCATCTACAACATCGCAGTCATGGTCTTCACATACCAGGTGTTTGATGTCAATAATGGAAACTGTCCACTACCCAACCGCTACGATGATGCCTATACTGTATTGCCTATTGATGCGGAACCAGGTACTTTGCCACCAACCATGTTCTTATCACTGCACTATGCACATAGGCAACGTGGCCACGAAAGCTCCTAATGAGGCTAGGATCCGTAGGTCCACCAGGACACTCACCAACAAGCTCCCACGGTGGAGGACCACTCGAATGTCGTCCCCTACTCCGTCCAGTCCCCGAGCTCTCTGTCTTCTGACGAGCAGGTGGTACGAATCGCCCAGCTCTGTCCATATACATAGCAGGACGTGATGTTGCCGTACAAGAAGGCCCTCGTCCATGTCCACGCGTAGGTGGAGGGACCTCGATATCCTCATCATTATCGTCCTCATCAAACTCAGTCGAGACCACTCTCGATGCAGCACCCTGGTTCCTCCCATGGGAACCAGACGCCCGTGATGCCGAACGAGCAACTACAGTAAGAGCCTCTAACTCATCCTCCCCTAAATTTGCCTGTGACTGATGTCCAATATCTCGAGAGCGCTTATTCTCCTTATTCTTCTTTCGTGCTGATGCATCAACAACCCTACCATTGAATGTATACAACTCATTCCCACCCGCATCATCCATATCTAATTATCTACAAATTTACACAATATCATACTTGGATGTGCACTAATTAATTAATTTTCTATTAACTAATGTACTATTAACATTAATTGTTAATTAATCACAAATTAATTAAATTTCTGTTAACTAATGTACTATTAACATTAATTGTTAATTAATCACAAATTAATTAATTTTCTATTAACTAATGTACTGAATATTAACATTAATTGTTAAATCAATTCTTAATTAATTAAAATTTCATTAACTAATCTAAGTAATTAAACTTTCAAACGCTTATTACCAAAAAAACATTTATACACCAACTTAAATAAATATTAACACTAATTGCTAATTTTTATTAACTAATTAAGTAATTTTTTATTGACTAATTAATTATCATATTAAATTAAATACAAAAACTGGCCGGGCCGAAAGAATTTTGCGGCCGGTGCGTCGGCCGGCCGAAAAAAATTTGCGGCCGGTGCGCCGCCGGGCCGAAAAACATTTGCGGCCAGTGCGCCGTCCGGCCGAAAAATTCTTTCGGCCCGACGCCGCTCCGGCCGCAAATTTTTTTCGGCCGTTACCAGGGGCGTGTTCGGCGACCGGCCGAAAAAAATTTGCGGCCGAGGCGTCGCCGGGGCCGAAAGAATTTTTCGGCCGGCCGTCGTACCGGCCGCATATTTTTTTCGGCACGACGTCGCTCCGGCCGCAAATTTTTTCGCCCGACGTCGCTCCGGCCGCAATTTTTTTTCGGCCCGCCGTGTTTTTCGCCGGAAAACTAGAAAACTTGCCGGAAAACTGGAAAACTGACCGGAAAAAGTAAACTTACTTGTTTTCCGACGATTGAGGGCGACGGGAGGTTAGCCTACGACGGAAGAACGGTGCCGGCGATGGAGGCACTGGGCTCGTCAACAGAAGTTTTTGTTGGAATGAGTCAAATGTTCCTGATATCCGAATTTATAGAAGGGAAGGAAGGGAAAATTCAAAATTTGAATTCAAATTTTTTTTTTTTAGTTGGCGGCAAATATCAATTTGGTTGGTGGCAAATAGCCGTTCACATTACGAATCCAATCCATCTTCCAAGATCTGTTAATTCTGGATTTGATGGAAACAATGAACATATAGGAGAAGAAGATTGGGTTGGGGAAGAAGGAGAAGTGTAGACATTTATTGGCTTCCATCTTGGAAGATGGCGATTATGGGTTGGGGAAGAGTCGGGTCAAGGGCTACGTTGGGAGTTTAGTCGGGTCAAGCGGTGGGTTGGGGAAACTGACGTGGAGGGATTTGCTGATGTGGAGGGTTTTGCTTTAATTTTTTTAGGTCAAAATTTGATGATTAGGCGTTTCCGTTAGCCATGTCAGCAAATAACTGACGGTGTTAACGGAAACTAACGGAAGGTAACGGAGAGTGACCAAACTTGAACCATTTAACTAATTTGAGTGACCAAGATTGGATTTAAATATTTCCAGTGACCAAACATGAACGTTTTTTTGTAAATCTAGTGACCAACCATGCAATTAACTCCGAATATCGAATTGTTTTAATGGCGCCTCGTCTTACTTCCACACATCTATAAAAAAGAAACCCAACCACTTAGTTCACATAAACAAACGAAATTAGTTTGTTACAATTAAGTTATAAGTTGGTTTTCTTAGCCAAGCTGGTTTCGACATTATATTTTGGGTTAATATATTCGTATGGCCCGAACTTTTCACAAATTAAATATTCTGGTTAATCTTTTCGAGCTATAATTTCGTAGTCTCAACTATTCATCAAAGTTACGAAATTGGCCAAACCCGAGATTTAACCGTTATCTTGGACGGTCAAACGTGTTGACTAACAGTCAACGCGCCACGTCAGCACACACCACTTACAAAAATTGGTTTTTTCCACCAACTGTCATTTATCTTTTTTATTTTGAACAAAAGAAGAAAAAAGGAAAATAAATTAAAAATAAGAAAGATAAATGGCAATAGGTGAAGAAAACTAAATTTTTTAAGTGGTGGGTGCTGACTTGGCAGTAACGTGACACGTTAACCGTCCAAGATTACGGTCAAATCTCGAGTTTGACCAATTTTATAACTTTTATGTATAGTTGAGGTCACTAAATTATAAATAAAAAAATTGATAAAAATATTTAATTTGTGAAAAGTTCGGGTAATACAAATATATTAACCCTTATATTTTTACATACATAAACTTTACATACATTGTCAAAACATAAGTCAAGAGACGTTGGTTTAGCTGAGAATTTTGGTGGACCAGAAAAAAAAAATGGAGAGTGCTCTCTCCTCTCTCATCTTTTTCGCTTCTCTGCTCGGAAAGTGCTTCTATCGCACCATCGCCGCTTTGTTTGCGGCCAGCCTGCGGAATCAGGGTAAAGATAATCGGACCCGGTCGCACGCCGATTGTACCCAGGAGAGGGATCTTAATAGAAGCCCAATCAAGATCTGGATGGAGGACAATCTCCAGGCGATCGCGAATCCATCCCTGCAAAGGGCGTCTCGGGAGATGGACCGGCGCGGAGCTTTATGGCGTCGCCGGAGGAAACGATCTGGGATTGATGCGTTTGCAGAGTGGGCAAACCTAGAGATGCGACCATCAAAGAAGTACAGGCAAAACCCACGAAATCAATGGAGGTTCTGGCTCCCTCCCTCGTCAGAGCTAGATGAGAATGAATCTGATCGATTCCCGTTCGCGGGGGGTAATCCAATTGAGCGTATTGAACGCTGTGAAACCTTGACACCATCTGTACCCTTAGGGGAAGGGATTCGTCCCGAGAAACCAGTTCGTGTAGAAACTGGGTTGTGTATAGCCTCCTTCAATGGAGATTTAACTAATCAAGCGTCTATTGTTGAAAATGGTGGATGCTTAGATCGACCGGTCCCCTTTGTGGACGAGTCTCCTTGCGTGCCGTCAGTCTCTAGGAAGATGATGGCGGTGCTTCTTCTTCACCCTCGCATAATCAGGGCTTCCGGCGATCCCTCTGGTAGTGCCGACGTCCATTGCCGGCGGGTGGAAGTGCGGCTGCGCTGGGTGGTTACGGCGGGCGCGTTCCCGGATTTCCCGGCTTTGCTGGGCGGGATCTGCGGCAGCAAAATCCAATTAAAAAGAAAAAAAAAGAAGAATTATCTTCTGAAACCGACTCAACAGTCTCCTAAACCTTTTCAATTTCTAATTACCGGCAGTTTAAGGGTATCACGGCACTTGGGGGACAAGGGGTTTTCTCCTTATAAATATAACTCGTCTCTGGCTAGTTTGCCACAGTGCATCGTAATTGATTCAGAGACAAGGTTTTTAGCCCCGCCCCATCAGCAATGTGCCGAGCCCTTTCCCTTGCCAGGTATCGGGTTTAATTCTCAGTTCTCTTCTTCCTGTCCCCCTTTGTTGATTGATCAAATCCCCTCTATCCCTACTACTCTGCCGCCACAAGGGTCATTGCTTGACTTGACCCTCCCACCAAGAACAGCTAACCTTTTGAAGGGCGAAACCATCTCAAATCCCATATTTATTAAGCCGCGTGCTTTAATGGGAGAGCCGGCTGTGCCATTTACCTCTAACGCTTTATCTATGCCTCCTTGTCAGGTGTTTATGATGTCGCGAATTGCGGAGGACCAAGTGGTCAAAGACAGGATATTCCATCTTCGATCCTGGGTTCCATCTATCTCGAAAATTATGTTTGATGAGCTGGCCATTGCTCCCTTCCGTGTGCAGCTCTGGAATGTAAGAGATGAATGTTGCACTAGACAGTTTGGCCGGAAGTTCGCAACTGGAACTATTGGTCAGGTCTTGGAGGCAGATGTTTTTGCGGCAAGAGACACGGAGGAGCGCTTTGTCAAAGTGCTTGCTCTCATTGATTTTACAAAACCTCTGCGCTCCCAGCTCATGGCGATCAGTGCGGAACTTGGTCAATTTTGGGTGCAACTCAAGTATGAATTTTTACCGATCATTTGCTTTCATTGTGGCCGAGTGGGACACTCAAAACGTGACTGTGTGTTCGACCCTCCTTCACGGAAGGAACGATTTGGCCCTCACATGTCAACAAAGAAGCTAGGAAGGAAGCTGTACATGGATGAGGAGGATTCCATGAATTATCAGAATACCAGTAAATCGGTGTGGGTGAACAGAAATGTGCAAGTCTTCAACGGAGGGAGTGCGAAGAATGCTCGGGGTCGAGTGCAGGACCTTCCAACAGGGCGCTCTGCCTACTCTCAGGCTCATGGGCTGGTCCCCTCTGTGGAAGAGGATTTGACAGCTCAAGCGAGCAAGAAGGCGCAGCCTAGGCTGCGGGATCCAGGTAATAAACTGACTGGGCAGCGTGCTAGTCCACAGCGGTTTGTGCTCAAACCATCCCCGCGGATGAAGATTGGTGGTGTGGTGAGGCAGAACCAGAAAAAACAGACCCCCAAAAAGGGTGCTTCCCTTCCTCGACAGGGTACCAAGGGTCGCCAACAACATTCTGGGCGAGCAAAGCAAGCTCCTCAAGTTCAGAAGAAGGCAGATCCTATGGTGGAGGTTCTTGAGCAGTCCCGGAGGCGTCGATTGATCTTGCAAGAGGAGTCTGAAGAGGAGGAGATGGTGGGTACTTAGGGGTCTGGCCCTCCATCGCTGAAGGAACCTTCCAAGCCTCGGGTTCGCCCACGACTGAGAAAAGTTGGTGCGACAAAGCAGGATGAGGTCATTGGCTCACCTGGGGCTATGCACGGGCTGGAGGATGAGGAGGCTGCTGCGCCTCTGGGTGATCCGGTTGCTGCGCGGCACCAGGAGGATTCTGATTCTGATGGGGATCACTCGCTTGGAGCTTTTGAAATCAAGCGTCATTCTCCAGGTGGGGGCTCCACTCAGGATTATCAGGTCAGCAAGGGGCGGGTCCACCGAGTAGTGGAGGCGTTTGAGGCTGGGCTCGTTTTCGAGCAAGAGGAGGATGCTCCATTAGATGAGTATGGGTCTAATCTGATGGGACCATTCATGGAGAATCGGAAGCGGGGGTTAGATGCTTTGGACGGGGAGGTTGGGGACCCCCCTACTCCAAAGAAACAATTTTTTGAAGCTGCGGAAGGATTGGAAAAGGTGGAGGAAGCCAGCCTAGAGTGGCCCCAAGGTGATAAATGAGGCTTCTGGCCTGGAATGTGAGAGGAATTGGGCCATCTCTCACGTTCCAAACTGCTGTAGGGCTTTGTCATTCCAATAAACCGGATCTTGTGTTTTTCTCGGAGACACGATCGAGCCGGCGTGTAGCGTCCCGCCGTATGCGGGGTCTAGGTTTTGTTCTTTCTCATTGTTTTTTTGTATATGCAGTCGATGCATTGGGTGGTTTAGTTGTTGCTTGGGCCCCCGGGGTTGACACTTCGGTGTTTTGTCATTCTGATTTCTATATTTGTTCGCAAATTAATGAAGGGGATTTGTCGTATGTTGTGATTTTCGTTTATATTAGTTGTAATATTGCTGTTCGAGCTACCCAATTGGCTCATTTGCGGAACGTTTGTGCGGATATTGCTCACCCTTATGTGATCATAGGCGATTTCAATGCTACTCTGCATGAGAGTGAAAAAGATGGGGGGCGGGCATGGAATGCGAACCAGGCTTTTAGTCTTAGTGAATTTGTGCATGATTTGGGTCTCCAAGACCCTAGTTACCAAGGTGAACAGTTCACTTGGACTAATAAGCGCATGGGCGATGCTTGCATTCGTGCTCGTTTGGATAGAGCGATTTGCTCTCTATCCTGGATGGATGCGTTCCCGGAGACTCTAGTCAAACACTTCACAGACCAGGGATCAGACCATCGTGCCCTTCTCCTTGCTGATAAACCATATGTTCGTGCTAGTCGGCCACTTTTTCGTTTTGATGCCCGTTGGGCGGATAATCCGGAGGTAAGGGCCATGGTTAGCTATGTCTGGCGGGAGGAGATTCAGGGCACCCCTATGTTTCGAC